GATAGTTGTTTCCTGAATTTCCTTCATGATCTCTGCTTCTTCTTGGGCTTCCCAGCTAAATAACCTTCTCCGCCATTGCAGTTCCCATATCCAGCTGCCATTGGACCATCGTCCCATCTGTGAAACCATATTGTCTTTACCTGCAGAGATTAAGTACAATCTTGGGTATTTGTTAGCCAATATACCTCTCCCACCCCAATCGTCCCACCAGAATTTCACACTATCCCCTTCTCCTATTTTAATATTCAGCCCCTTTGCTAACCAACCCTCATGCTCCTGATCTATGACATTCAACCTACATATATCCCTCCACCATCTTGACCCAAAACCGCTACTATCCCTTAACCAATTATAACTTGGTTCCCCGTCCCTACCATATTTCTGCAAAATAACTTTCTTCCAAAGCCCATCTTCCTCGTTAACCAATCTCCCCCACCACCTCCCAAGCAATGCTAAATTAAACTTCCTTAAATCCTTCACACCTAAACCCCCTTGATCTTTGTCCCTACATACCTTGTCCCATCTAACCCAATTTATTTTCTTTCCTCCCTCCACACCTCCCCACAAAAATCTCCTACTGATTTTATCAATAAAGAGAATTGTGCCTTTTGGGATCATGTACACGGACATCCAGAACACGGGTAGACTAGACAACACTGAGTTTATGAGAGTAATCCTTCCTCCTAGAGATAAATATCTCCCTTTCCATGAGGATAGTTTGTTGGTCACACCCTCCAGAACTGGTTTCCAGAATGAGAGCTTACCACACCTCCCCCCAATTGGTATCCCCAGATACTTAAAAGGCAAGCACCCTTTTTTGCAGCACAAAACCCATGCCATTTTTTCTAACCACTCTTCCTTTGCTCCGATGCCAATAAGCTGACTTTTGTTGAAATTTATCTTCAGTCCCGATACCAGTTCGAATGATCTCAAGATGCTCTTCAAAGCCCATACATTTTCATCAATAGCTTTGCCGAACAGCAATGTGTCATTTGCGTATTGGAGATGTGTGACCTTGAAGCCTTTATTTCCCACTTCTACACCTTCAAGAAAGCCTTTCTCCACTGCTTTCACAACCAGCCCATTAATCCCTTCTGCAATAATCAGAAATAAGAATAGGGATAATGGGTCCCCTTGACGAAGACCTCTGGTTATAGAGAATTGTCTGGTCGGGCTGCCATTGACCAAAACCGACACCATACTTGAGCTTAGGCACTCCATAATCCATTTTCTCCACATATTTGAGAAACCCATTCTTTGCAGCATAAAATCAAGAAAACTCCAGCTCACTTTGTCATATGCTTTCTCAAAATCAATCTTCAATAAAAACGCTTCCTTCTTCTTCTTTTTTACTTCATCAATGACCTCATTTGCTATTACAACCCCGTCCATTAGTTGCCGACCGCTTAAAAATGCCATTTGTTGTTCACCGACTATTCCAACCAGCACCTTCTTGAGTCTGTTAGCAAGCAATTTTGCAAGGATTTTGTATATACCCCCGATCAGCGAGATTGGTCTATACTCTTCAATTTTTTGTGGGTTTTCTACTTTTGGCACAAGAACTATGAATGACGTATTTAGACCCTTCACCAACTTGCCATTCTTCTGAAATTCATGAAGAAATTCAATCACATCCCCTTTGATTGTCTCCCATTCGCTCTTGATGAATTTAAAATTGAAGCCATTCGGACCCGGTGCTTTTGAGCTTTCGCAATCCCAAACAACTGACTTTATCTCTTCTTCGGAGAAAGGTGCAGTGAGAAAGACATTATCTGTCGAGGAGATTTTTTTGAATTCTGTTCCTTCTATAGATGGCCTCATCCACTTCTCCTCCGTGAATATATCCTCAAAAAAGTGGCAATTTCTTCTTTCAGTTTATCAGCCTCTGTAATCTACACTCCCTTTACATGGACGCTGTTCATTTCATCCTCTTCCATCTCCCCTTTACACAATTGTGGAAAAATTTCGTGTTTGCGTCACCCTTCGCTAGCCATACTTTCCTGGATTTTTGTTGCAGCATACTCTCTTTGTGTCTGATGCTATCCCACAAAGACAAGAATGCATGTCTTCTTGTCTCAATCTCTTCCTCAGATAGCTGAGTCATCTCTCCTTTCACATCTAGCTGCAAGATCTCTGCCGTAGCTTCTCTTATTCTTCTTTCTATTTCTAGGACAAAATTTCTGCTCCATGCCTTCAACGCCTTTTTGGTGATTTTGAGTTTCTCTTTGAGGCGAAATTCGGCCCACCCATTAATTTTTTTCCCTCTCCATGCTTCTCTTATCACCTCTTGACACCCTTCTTGCTCTAGCCAGGTATCAAAGAATCTGAATGGCTTAGGTCCCCAATTTACTTTCTTATGTCTAAGAAGGATTGGGCAGTGGTCAGATACAGTTCTGGTTAGACCCCACTGAGTTGCCTCACCCCACTTATTCAACCACTCTTCGGACAATAGGAACCTGTTTATTCTGCTCATCAATTTGCCACACGGTTGATACCATGTGAATTTTCTGCCCACTAATGGTATATCTATCAGTTCTGCTTCCATAATGAAATTATTGAAGTCCCTCATCTCAGTAGTTACTGCTTGGCTTCCAACTTTCTCCTCTACATTTTTTACCGTGTCAAAATCACCCACAAGACACCATAGCCCTCTTGTCTGCAGAACTAAATCTTTCAATTCCCCCCATAAGCTTCTCTTTCCCGCTAATTGACATGGAGAGTAAATATTGATGATATTAACACAAACATCCTCTGCTACCCACCTCCCTTGAATCCCAATGAAGTTCTCACCCTCCCAAACTTTCACCAATCTGAGTGTTTTAGAATTCCATACACAGACCATACCTCCCAACAGTCCTGCGGAATCCTTTGCCACCCAGTCGAACTCCTCAGATCCCCACAACAATCTACATAATTTCCTATCTATTCCACCCTTCTTAGTTTCCTGGATAGCTAGGAAGTCCACACCTTCTCCAATTACTAAATCTCTAACCATTCTCTTCTTCCCCGCACCCCTCAATCCTCTGACATTATATGAAAATATATTCATTTAATTGCAGCACTCACCTTCTGATCCTTACTCGACCCTTTTAAGCTTTCTTTCTCCTTTGCCGATCTATCTCTCTTCTCCATCTCCTCGAGTTTCTTGATGACCTAATCTTCATCCTCTGCCACTGCCCCAATCTTCTTCGCAAACTCCCATATGTCCGTAGCAATCCGCTTGTTGGGGAGTTCCATGAGCAGTCTATTACAATTCTGAATACCGCTATCTCCTACGGATCCACCCACTATTGAGTTGCTTGTACTTGGCAAGAACACCGGCACTTCTTCTTCTTTTGCTTGCTTCGCCCCACATCTGCCCCTGCTTTTCTTCTTCTGCTTCATAAATCCAACAAGAATTGATTTTTGGTAGACCGAGGTGCATGATTTGCTCCTTTTCTTACTGTTTTTCTTGTCATTTTTCTGAGCTGCGCACGATTCCTTTTCCCTGCGTCCTTCAGATCTCTCCCTTTCACTACTACAGGAGCTGTCATTCTTTAGACTAAACGTGTCTTTTTCTGCAGATTCCCGTGACTTCTTCTTTTTGGCACCCTCTTCGGGCCTTACTTCAATCCCCGATTGTGGCCTGCCTATTAATCTTTCATCGGTCCAATAATCTTTTGGCAGACCTTCACCGGCCCTTTTTCGAATGGCAGCAAATCCATCTAATGGGTCACTATTGGGCTGCATGCCCAACCCAACACTTCCCAAACTTGCTGCAGGATTTGAATTTGAGAGCGCCTTCTCCTTACGTCCAGATGCACCCATTCCCAAAACGGCTCTCTCCCCTGCGTCATCCTCTTCCATATCCATTTCAAAGCTATCTGCAACCACATCAACGGACTCCTCCTCCCCTACTCTGCTATTTGAGAGCCTAGCCTTCTTTTCTGACCAACCCTCATCATTACTCTTCCCTTCGAATTCAAATTTTGCCTTTGAGTTTGAAGTGACAGCCAACCTACTCCCTCTCTCCTTGCTCGGCATTGATACTTTGTTTGGACTATCCTCGCCGGCGCCATCTCCGATTTTAGCTTCCCCGCTATCTTCATCAACACCTTCTGAATACTCCGAGGCACCTGACCAAGACTCATCCAACTCTAAGTCGCTATTAAAAGATGGCCTGAAATCATACTTCAATGAGAAGAGGCTATTTGTCAATTCCTCTTCTGAAAACTTCAACTCAAATATATCCCCATTGACTTTAACTTTCCGATGGACGGAGATAGAATCCATTATTGATGTTGATAATAGAAATCTTGCGACATCGAACCTTCTCTTTTTGCTTGTGCTATCATCCAAGCAAATACATTTCCCCCAAGCTAATGCCAACTCTTCAAAGAATTCTGGGCTCCAAGCATGTAAAGGAGCTCCCTGGCACCTCATTCAAACAAACCTTTCTTTTTCTACCATTGTAGGTGACCACGGTTTCACCTCTGAAAACCATTGCCCAAGCCATTCTGAGGCTCCCTCCACTAAATCCTTAATTTCTTCTTTATCCTCACTGTCCAAAAGGACCAATTTTCCCCCCATGGCTCTTAATCTACATGAGAAGTACCCTTCCATGTAGAACTTCTCTTGTAAATTGGGTACAATCTCCACTGAGTGTGCAACTCCCACATAGCTTCCTTGCAACCACTGCAGGTCATCTTCTTTCACCTTAAACTCTAGACCCGACCACACCTCTCCTTTGTTTTTCTGTTTCCAAACAAGTTCGTTCTTCAGCTGCTTTTGCTTTTCACGGGCTCTGATTATACCTTCTTCAGACTTCAAGAGTCTTTCAGGACCCTTCTCTCCGCTTTTTCCAGCATCGCAACTTTCTTGACCTCGCACAGCATTAGCATATGTCTTTCCCTGAACAATTTCTTTTGATGGGAAGAATCTTTACCGTCTCCTCTTTAACTTTCTCCTCTGGGTATTTGGCCCGGTTTACCCATAATTTATGCCCTGCCACCTTTATTTTATCAAGCTGGTTTTCAAGCTCCCTGGTATTCCTTACATTAAGGAACCTGACAAAACCAAATCTCCTTCCGTTCTTGCTTCTCCTTTGCGGGCTATATATATCAAATATCCTTCCAAACTTGCCAAACGTTCTCCACATTTCAGTGTAGCTCCAATCCTCCGGCATGTTTGTAAAAAAGAAAGCTATAGCTTGCTTATACAGCCCTCTGTCATACCCCCACTGCCTGTTCCTACTCCAGTTCCCCCCTTTCAACTATCCACTGTCATACCCCCCCCCCTCCGTGTTTATTCTGATACCCATTCCAGCTACAGTGCCCTGACTCTTCCCCTTTCCACTGCCTACCTCCCTCTTGGAGTCTGGTCTTCTCACTACCCAGTGCTGTCCGCCGATGCCACGTCCTGTGTCCCGTGCATGAAACCCACTCTCTCGCTCTACCATTCTCTCTCATCTTTTCCCCTTTGATACTGAAGATTTTTTTATTACTTCTTTAGCTTGATGTGTGGGTTTGAGTATTCTTCTTCCACTCTTTCTTTTGTGAAGTTTGATGTATATGACCTCAACTTTGAAGTGAACCCTCCACAAAATATGTAGTGGGAAAGATATCAACTAT